ATTGAGGGGCTGGTCAGGGACTGTGAACCGTGTCTCCTTAGTGGAAAGACTGGACAACCAGCCCCAACCCCTTTGCAGCCAGTCCCATGGCCTTCACGTCCATGGAAGCACCTACAGTTAGACATCTGTGGGGAAATTCATGGCCATGGAGTTCCTCCTCATCAGCGCTTTCTAGTTGTCATCTACGATCTCCATTCTAAATGGCCTGAGGTAGCACCGGCAGGGACAGGTACATCACAGACTATCACGCAGATACTGGACAGTCTGTTTGCTCATTGGGGCATGCCCCGTGCCATAACTACTGACAACGGGCCCCAGTTCATTTCTGCAGAATTCTCCAACTTCCTCAGCAATAAGGGAATTAAGCATATTCGTGCCGCACTCTACCATCCCCAGGCAAACAGTGGGGTGGAAAGGTTTAATCAGAGCCTTAGGAATGGGATTCGGGCGCATCTGGTCCAGGGGTACTCATTTCAAATGGCACTTAATCAAACCTTGTTGCACTACAGGGCTAGCCAGCACAGCACCACTCAGGCTTCACCTGCTCTGCTCATGCTCGGCCGGGAGATGGAATTTCCCCTAGACAGGCTCAGAGCACCGGGCTTGTCAGCAACAATACTAACTGCCCCCCATCGTTTTGGCATCGTTTTGGCATCGTTTTGGTCTGAGCCTCACCAAGTGGTCCGTCAGCTAGGATCCGCCACATTTCTGTTAAGTGACGGCTCACGCTGGCATGCTAGTAGATTGCAGAAAGTACCCATCCCTCTTACACCAACAAGAGGTTCGCAATGGAGCATAACACAAGAGCAGCACAAGGAGTCAGTTCCTTAGTCCCACGACCAGAACCAGTACAGCCATGGTCACACCAGGCACCTCAAGGTTTCCATCTCGGGGAGCCCCCACAACAGCCAGGACCTGACCTGCCACCACTCCTGCCAGCAGATGGCCCTCACCCTCCTCAGCCATTGCTTGATGTTACCCAAAATGGCCAGGAAATGCCCCAGCAGGCGACTTTGGGAGGCAGACCATGCATGAGTTGCGTGCGGCAGACAGAAAAGTGAATAAAGAAAAAAAGAAACATCAGAGTTTTTTTTAGCATTCCGTCAGTTTAAACACAACATCATGCTGTTTATCTGATGTTGCTAAATTCTATTAAGAGTGTAACTGTTGTATGCAAATTTCCAATATTGTTATATTTATACATTCATACAGTGTATTTATTATGAGTAACAGATTCTCCAGGAGTCTCTCTGTGAAGGGAATTCTTGTGGTTGATCGTCTGTTCTTCGGTGAGATTGGGACTCTGGATGGAGGGATGGAGGTTTACGGAGGAGAGAATGTTGAATTAGGAATACAGGTAAACCACATTCACATGCAAACGTGTTGATCATTCTCCTACATATTATACTATATTTACATAGTAGCCATAGTAAACCGTGTTGAGTTTTCATGTGTTTGGTTCAGGTGTGGCTGTGTGGAGGAAGTATAGAGATTGTACCCTGCGCTAAAATTGCTCACATCGAGAGGGCACACTGATCTTAGCAATGTAATGAAGAGAAATGCCCTCCGAGTGGCAGACGTTTAGATGGATCAATACAAGAACAATTTTCACATAGCCTGGCATATTCCAGTACAGGTATCATGAAAGAAATCCACTTTTATCATCTGTTGGACACATCCAAAGAAAGTTCTAGCAGTGTTGATTTTTGTGTTATTAAGAGTGAGGCATGACAATTATTTCTTCTGTTGACACATCAATTTACGCGAAGAAAACAAAAATAACAACTTTATTCAACAATTTGTCTCCTCTGTGTCTCTCCACATCACCGTAGCATCATTTTGGAGAATATCCGCTGAACGCAAACTGCAAAAAGCGCGGCTGACACAGAAGAGCATACGCAGTTTGCGTTTAGCGCATATTCTCCAAAATGGCGCTACGGTGATGCGGAGAGACACAGAGGAGACGAATTGTTGAATAAAGTCGTTATTTTTGTTTTCTTCGCGAACAAAAAGTATTCTCGTCGCTTCATAACGTTACGGTTGAACCACTGATGGCAGATGGACTATTCTGACGATGTCTTTCATAACAGTAGTGTCGCGAGGTGGAGCCCCAGTATCAAACTCCCGCCCAAACTCCCACAGACCCAATCAACCATAACATCACGCCCCGTTTTTATAGCATCAAATTACTAGCTAAAATCAAACTTATCACAAAAACGAACAATTGAACATATATCAGCGTGATAATAACCTTAAATGACCAAAACCATCTTTCGGAAAATTGTATTGGAAGTGTAATTTATTTTTTTATTTTGACTCAAGTCCCAGTCGTTTACATGGAGAAGGCGGGGTTTATGACCTGTACTGCAGCCAGCCACCAGGGGGCGATCAAAGAGCCCGCAGCTTCACTTTTCAGGACGTGTGAGGCACACCCGGTTTGGAACTACCTGTTTTTATATAGTCTATGGGAACGACATGGGGGTAAGTGATTAATAACAAAATTTTCATTTTGGGGTGGAGTAACCCTTTAAAGGGGTGGTTCACTGGTTTTTTTCTAGGCTTGATTGTGTTTATGGGGTGCGGTCTAACGTGTTAATGCTTCCTTTTTTAAAAAACCCATTATTTTTCACATAATTTACCTTTATTCCACACCGCTCTGTCCCTTCTCTGAGAAACACGCTGATCATTTCCTTCTTTTATGAAGCCCCTCCCTCAGAAATAGGCGATGGGCTCTGATTGGTTAGCTAGCCCAGTGTGTTGTGATTGGCTAATCCGCCTCTAGTGCACGTCTAAACATCCCAAAAAAACGCATTCTTTTTCACATAATTTACCTTTATTCCACACCGCTCTGTCCCTTCTCTGAGAAACACGCTGATCATTTCCTTCTTTTATGAAGCCCCTCCCTCAGAAATAGGCGATGGGCTCTGATTGGTTAGCTAGCCCAGTGTGTTGTGATTGGCTAATCCGCCTCTAGTGCACGTCTAAACATCCCGCCCCTCACCTCAGCGGCATGTGCTCCGTTTGTATTGTAAACAACGGCGTCGTTAATATCGCTTATCAGTTTGAGCCTGATTGAGACAGAGGATATTACTGAAGAGGATCGTGCAGAACCTGTGCAAGCACGGCTTTTAATGGTAGGCCTATGTTTTTTGTTTGTTGTTGTCTCATACTTTTAGATACTCGTTGCTCTGGCCGGACAGGGCATCACAATATAGTAAGGGGCGTAACATTTCCGTCACACGCTTGAGGTATTCGGCCAATCACAACGCACTGGATAACTGGCCAATCAGAGCACATCTCGCTTTTCAGACTGATGAGCTTTGTAAAAATCTATGCATTTCAGAAAGGCGTGGGGCATATAGGAGAAACAATAATCTACAGTATGTGGAAAATAATGTGTTTTTTTAACTTAGTACGGCAACTGCACGCGCGTCCATGTTTAACGCTTCTCATAGCTATGTGAAAATAAGTGTATAATTGGAAGTTACAGTTCTTTGTTGGAGCTGAGCTGAATGAGAGAGAGAGAGAGAAAGAGATGCAGAGCAGGGGAACGCGAGGAACAGGATTGAGAACCGCTGCTTTAGAACATTGATTTTGAAACTTGTGAATCCATTAGAATCGTTAGAAGACAGAATCGCGATTCATATATGAATAGATTTTTACGTGCACCTCTAGTTTTCTCTTCCTCTTCTCTAAAGCAGCGCAGCATGGCCTCGGCCCCTTTGCTGCCTTTTCCCGAGGGTGGGGTTTATCTGGGTTTGTTACGTCACGAACCCGGGAAGTAACTTGTTGTAGTCCCTACCAGCCGTTTTTGTAGGCATTAAACTGCTAGAATTTTAAAAGACAATATCTCCGTTTGCATTGAACTTTCAGATTCGTAACTTTGCAGATATTGTTTATGCTCAAACAGCAACATTACACTATAACTAACGTTAAAAAAGTGAAATCGCAATGAACCACCCCTTTAATATTTGTCTACCAAATGTTTGAGATGTGGATAGGGATATAGTTTGAACTGTGTCAGTGTTTTGCTTGTATAGCTGTTTGCTTATCATTAAACTAGTCAAACAACCAGTGCACCTGTTCTCGTCTTCTCCCACAGAACCATGGGATAGACATCGGTGATGTATTGTAGAGAGCGAAACTGAGAGAGAGGCTGAAATGCAAACCATTCCAGTGGTATCTGGAAAATGTAGACTCTGAAGATCAGAAAATAATGGTTGTCCTACTAACACAAACAGGTGATTAATAATCTGCAAACATGTTTATGGTTTGATCAGGGGCCACTTGAACAGACAAGTACAAGTCATTACAGTCCCTCCCAGATAATTCTGAATTCTGTTATATTCTCTCTCTCTATATATATATGATTATATTATTTCTCTATATACATTTTTTTTTTACATTTTCCAAGCTTTAATTTCTCGTCACACAGGTGTTTTACTATACAGAAAGTGGTGCAATATGTATCTGTATGTATATGTTCACACAAATATCACATGACCCGCTGTGTAATTGATCCCGGCTCAGACAGATTTCCAGAGATGTACTCGTGTTCAGATACTAAAAGTTTAAAGCAGCACAAAAAAAACGGAATAATTCATGACCTAGAAAGCACTTTTAATGACAAAATATAAATATCCCTGCATGAAAAACCTCCTTGTTCAGATACATTTCTGGATATACCTGGTGTTTTCAGGGACACGCTATACAGAACAGAGGCACTAAACACTGTCTGGAGATCAGTGCTGACCAGAAAGGAGAATATGAAGTTTTAATTCAGGACTGCAGAAACCAGCACTGGCGGATACAGTATGTAATTAAGGACTTAAAAAATGTAGGAGACTCAATTAATTTATGATATAAATGCTGTGGACAAACCTCAGATTAGTATTAAGTCAAATAATACTTTAAACCTACAATACAATCAAATAAAACAACTTTCAACCCCCTTAGTTTTATAAGATAAGTAATAATAAAAAATACAGTCCTATCCTCTTCTGTTTGTCATGGTTATGAATTCTCTGCCACAAATTTGTTCCACTTTTCCTTCCATACGGTCATAGCTTTGTCCTGTAGTTGTGGTGACAAAGAACTGTACCTGTTAATAAAGGGGAAAAGTGCAACCTTAAATAATTCTTCTACATAACTAAAATGACTTTTCAAATGAAAGTATGTGAATAAATAAATATTAAGCACCTGATTGAATTCATCGCAAGCTCCTTTAGAGTGCCCAAGTTTGCAGTCAACCCACCAATACCCACAAAGACCTGGTAGAAATCATAGGAGAGTCCTGTGGTCCCGAACAAGGTGGGATCATCAGAGCTCACAACTACAGGATGGCCGTCTGACATTAGTACTGCGGCTGGGTGGTTTCGCAGATCCGAGACCAGTTTTAGCACCTGGAGAAGATGAAACACTGTTGATTCAACCAATCACACTGACATTTGACAAAGTTCTTTTAAATGTAAGTCTGTCCAAATATTATGTACAATGGCTGGATGCTATTGGCCAAACTACTTTTCAGTCAGGGTTAGACAAGTAACGCGAGTTATGTAATCAGATTACTTGTTTCAAGTAACTAGTAACGAAATGCATTACTTTTAAATGTACAAGAAAATATCTGAGTTAATTTTTCAAATAAGTAACGCAAGTTACTTTGTTTTCCCATTTATTCACTGACACCTCTCCTGTCCCCGTGTTGAGAGAAATTTGGAGTGAGGTACAGAGGCACTTCCTTCAGGCTGAGGCTTATTAATTTCACTTTTGGTGTGAAAGGGCCTACAATTGCTAAAAATATAACTTTGGGGCAAGCCCAGCCCAGGTGGCAAAACGTAAGGAAAAGTAATGCAATGCAATGCATTACTTTTTCATAAAAAGTTAACTAAGTAACCCAATAAGTTACTTCGTATGGAGTAAAGCAATATTGTAATGCATTACTTTTAAAAGTAACTTTCCCCTATACTGCCTTTAGCAAGTATGAAAACAATAGAAAAACAAAGCCAAAACCCAGACATTTTAGACAATTTAGAAATCCCGGCCAGGATATATCTGGGAATAAGGACATATGGTCAGCCTAGTTTTGCACCACAGCCGTACCTGATTGGAAATGGGACACAGCTCCACTGCCACCCCTCTCATTCTGGACAGCTGCTTGGCCAGGGGATGATGAACCAGTGCGAAACCATGTCCTATGCGGCTAGTGTTAAACAGCAGAGCATCTAACACATTCCTGTCCACATCTGTACCATCCAAATCTAAAAACAAACATCCACAGAAAGCCTGTTCCAGTCTGGAAGTTTAACTGTAAAACAATTAAGTGTAGTGATGGACGCTTTTGAAACACTGCTTCTAAACCTTTTCATTTGTTTTTCTAACCACTGGTTTCTAGCACATTTCAAACTGGCAAATTAATTCTCAGTGAACCCATGAACTAGTGTCTATTATATACTTCTATAAATGTGTCTATGATATACTTCTATAAATCTGCATTTGTATAATGAAAAGGAAGAGTAGTCTTTTATTGGCGTATTTAAACAAGCCCTCAATAAAACAAAACAGCAAATATTATAGAACACATATTATATAGACTTCATATTTTATGGTATTTGATTGGGGTGACCATCTGTCTTCTTTTTATAAATAGCCTAAAATGTCCAGGTTTTGTCTTTGTTTCTCTATTGATGTGCTCTCTACAGTCTTCATACATTATACACACATATTTGCATTGCTTTGACCGTTCTCTGTAGATCCCACCTTCTCGCACGCCAAGATTGGTTGATTATGTACAGTGCCTGCACGCTATTGTTCAAACTACTTTTCAGTCATTACTTTCAGCAAGTATGAAAACAATAGGAAAACAAACAGTGCATCTAAAATCCTATACTGACTGATTAGGTACTACATTTGAATTTGAATTTACTTCACGACCGTTAAAGTACATTCTAGTATGAATATGGGTAGTATGAATGAAATTCATATACTACATCCACCATGTTGTTACTTTCACATGACCTACCTGCGTCAGTTGCATCACTTCACTGTCATTTATAAATCCTCTCCCGTGGCCTCATGGGATAGTAAAGTGTCCATCGAATGCGCACTTCAGAATCGGAAGAAGTAGGTCATCCGGGTAATTTTTGCAGACTGTTTTTCGAATACAATGAAATCGGACATACTACCCACCTCACATACTGTTTCTTGCATACTATATAGTAGGGAAGCATGTGATTTCGGACACAACTACAGCCAAAATCCTGACATTTTAGGCAATTTAGAAATCTTTACCAGGACACATCTGGGAAAAGGGGGACGTATGGTCACTCTATATTCAAAGTTTTCTTAATTGCATTTAACGGGTTAAACTTTTGATAAAACCTTTGCATTTGGTTTGTAAAAGGTGTTTTTATGCATGTTTGTGCTGAATTGCATTTACACCATTTTGACCAGCGACTGGTGTTTCGAGCGCTTCGCTGATATTTTGCAAAGCAGTTGATTCAATTCATTCAAAACTTCAAAAAGCTTTGTTTCTCCCAAAAATGATGAAGTGAGCTACATATACTGACCTGTCTCTCCAGCATGAAAAAAGAAAGGAAGTTGTGTCTTAATCTCTGAAGCGAGTGATAAGGCATCTCGAAAGTACCAGATAGATCCTCCAGTGTCTTCACGACCTACCTACAGCAATAAATTGATCGAATTAGAGAAAACAAATACTAAATGTGGTCATTTAATTTCACCCCGTTCATTTTTTCTTTAATTCTGATTGAGTCAAATGTGACTCTTCAGTGAGCGTCATGGTGCCATGTCACCTTTTAGAACCGACTCGTCCTGGTTCAGTTATTTTGGCTTTGTTATTGCTGTGGCTTGCTTGCACAGTGCAGACAGTAACATATTTAGTATTTAGTATTGCATTCTGGCGACATGGCCGTGAATTGTAACTTAAGTCAAAGATGAGATTACCAGGTCGAACCCAGCAACGATGTCTGGATATTTTCTCTGCATTTCAATGGCCTCTTGTACTGCCTGCTTCACTTGAGACACACTAAGAGACCTGAGTAAAAATGCATTCAGATCAGACTGATGTGATTGATGATTAATATTCTTAGTATGTTAAATCATGTCAAAAATCCTAGACCATATTTCATCTTTTTGAATTCAAACGATTTAACGAGAGTTAAATGTGTTTTTATTCTGCAGTAATGAATACCATGTGTCTTTTCTTTTGTAAGCTTGAGCTGATGTTTCAAGAATTATTATCCATAATCTCATAATCAGAAGTTTCACCGCTGTTAGTCTAGTGGAAACATAATTAAAATAGTGGAGTCATAACTGAAAACAGAAAAATCTTATTTGGATAGTCAGTTCTAGAAACAGTAACCATTAAAGTGACTTTATTAAATAAACTAACGTGGCTTATGCTCTTTAAAAGGAAGAAAAAAATACTGTATGAAATATCATTTGGTTTAAAGGCTGTAATTCTTTAATAGCTGTTTTAAAAAAATCATAAAGCTGACTGTTGTGACCCTTGGTAACAGAAATGAAAGTTATTTACATTAAAAGTTGTTATTGTTGTTGTTTTGTAAAGGTTAAGGTAAATTAAGTATGTATTTGGCTTATTCAGTTTATTCAAGAGAGACAAGAGAGAACGTTTATTGATTGATTGATTTAATGTAGTTTTACCTGTGGACAGAGAAGATTAAACGAGATCCTATGAAATCTGGATGATTTGCTCTGAACTGCTCAGTGATGTTTCTGTAGACCTCCAGAGACCACGCTCTGTCATGGGTAGTGCCATCGAGTTCATACGCCTGAACATAATTATAAAATATACACATTTTTCATCCAAGTGCACATATACACTGAAATATGGTGATGTGGTTTAAGAGCCACAAACCTTGGACTGTCCGACCCTCAGCTCCAGGTACATGATGTTGTCTTTGTAAAGCTCCTTCAGACCCTGGTAGATGTAGTCTTTAAAGACAGGTGCATATGTGATCAGCCCAGATAGAGCGATAAAAGTCTTCTCAAACCTGTCCCATGCTGCATCTTGTGTCGGATAAGACGTCTCCGGGTCTTCCGTGAAAAGTGTGAGATTCCGCATTAAACTGAGAAAGGTCATTTGCTTAATTAGTTTATTTTCTCTTAGTTGGTTCTAGAACTGTTTATAATACAGCCCTGCAGCTTGAAAAAAAATCTGCTGATTTGCTATCAAATCAATTAATCAATCGATCAATAAAATATAATATTTAATTTGATGATGCTGAGTTAAAAAATATCAATAAAACTTCCATCAGTTTTTGTAACACAATAAGAATTAAGTTTTTTTCAAATATGAATGAATCGGCATTAATGCACTTGTCAAATGTCACCAAAAAACAACAACTAAAAAAATATTTTAAAAAATAAAAACATTATATATTTAACTTTATTCTGCAAAGTAGTGGAAAATATATTCACATACTCTATTTAATGTCAAAGGAATTTAGAAAAGAAGCTTTTTTCCCCACAAAATATGTAATTTTCTGTTGCTGTTTAGATGTAGTAAAACACCCACAGATGTGGCAGAAAACATCTGGGTCATGTTTGCATTTTCTTCTGTCACTTGCCGTAATTCTAACCTTGAAATCAGAATTAGGCATAAAATTGTCTTTCAAATCATTGATACATGTGAAAATCAGCTGAGAATTGAACAGACACTTAACCCGGCTTCATGTCATGTCTTTGTGGCTGTTTTTCTGCTGCATGATTAAATGATAATGCAAGACATATTCACTGTACAAATGGTTGTCAAAAGCAAAAATGCTATGAAATGCATGAGAAAGTGTGATAGGCAAAAACTATTTCTGGAATCAGCACCCCAAAATTAGTAAGAAGCAAGTACTGGATTTCATTTAGCAAATATATTTGAGGTAATTTTTGCAATGCTTCATATAAAAGAGCCACTAAAGCCATACCTAAAATATATATATGTTTATTTATTTATTTATTTTTACAAAACAAATGGCCACAATAACAGTGGCCATTCAGGGCATTTTAGTGAATTGAAAAGCATCATATATACAGCATATGATGCTTTTCAATTCACTAAAATGCCCTGAATGGCCACTGTTATTGTTTGTACCAGTGGCCAAATGTGGCTATTTTAAATCTGATGTTGAAATACGTTTAATCACCTGTTATCAAAGGCAGTGACATCACTCAGACTTGCCCTCAGCACATCTAATCGTTTCCACAAAGAGCATCCCCATCGTAGAAAGGGCGTATTGGCTGAGAAAAGGAACTGCACTGACCCGCCCCACTTGAAGCAGATGTAACAATGAGGCCTGTATGTTGCATTCATTACCAGCCAATCCACACTCACCATAGCAGAGCTGTGGATGTGAAGAGCTGCACCTGTAAGGCACAGAGACATTTTATTATCTGAAGGACAGATGTTTCCCAGATATACGAGTAGTAGTTTTACCCTTTGGCATTTTCTGTAGCAGTTTGAAGACAGGGCTTTTTTGCATGGTGTGCCGCATTTTGAAGAAGTGATTGGCAGGTGGGAAAGGTGAAGTAGCCATTTCTTTCAGCTTCAGCTGGTGTAGGAGTAAATCCAGCTGCTGTTCAGCCGCAGTGAGCTCCACTCTGCCCCCTACCTGCTGGGACATGTCCTGCTTCAGCATCAGCTCCCTCTGATGGGGATCTGGCTTTGGATTACACTCTCTGATACACAGTAACATCAGGACAATCAGAGCTGCCATGCTTGAGAGACTCCTCATGCTTGTACAGAGTTCCTGAGGTAGTGAGAGAGTGATATTCCCATTCTTGTTCGTTTTTTTTAATGGGATTTTTCTATATCCAACTTATTTGATGGTTCATTAGCAAAGTTGTTTTGGTGTAATTTGCACCTACACTCAGCCTGGACATTCAGGTTGTGACATGATTTTAGTCATTCAAAGTCTAAACGTGTAGCTTGAAGTCTAAGCTTTATTATGGATTATGGGCTTGTATTTTAGCCAGAAGTGATGGTTTAAAATACCTTAATGATTAATTTATTACAAGCATGCCGTTTTTGTTTTGGAAGTCATTAAGTGATGGAATGGTGTGGATTACTTGTGGATTATTGTGATGTTTTTATCAGCTGTTGGGACTCTCATTCTGACGGCACCCATTCACTGCAGAGGAACCATTGGTGAGCAAGTGATGTAATGCTAAATTTCTCCAAATCTGTTCTGATGAAGAAACAAACTCATCTACATCTCTGATGGCCTGAGGGTGAGTACATTTTCAACAAGTTTTCTTTTTGGGCAAACTACTCCTTTAAACTTGTAAATCATAAGTCTACACTTGTTTTCTTATTTACTGGAAAAAGGTTAAAGGTCAGGACAAGACAGATGTCAACTTTATTTCATTATTTTAAGATCAGTTCTACTTCTGCTACTAATAATAGTTCAGCTGTTTTCTCACTCGCAAATATTTTTGCAGTCATTCTGTAAAAAGCATTTGAAAGGATCTATTGTAAATTCACTTGGCACACCATTTAAATTTTGAAACTTTGAACAGAAATGTTATTAATATTTATTATATCAAGTATTTTACATGATAATCATAAAAAAATATTAGATCATTCAGCACAGGTTTTGTTAGATCTATTTCCTTATTATTTTTTATATGGTATAGCTTAGACCCCAGCTTTTGCAATAATCAAATAATTTACATTCCTAACAATTTAATCTGGAAAACTTCAGTGGTAGGAAAACAGCAAACCTTAAAAAAATTACTATTGATTATTAATAATAAAGAACTCCATTCACATGCTAAAAGTGACCTTACCTTCAAGTTTATTTTGCTCATTACTCTTTTTGTTCGCTGCTCTTCGTCTTACATCCAGAGAACATGCATTTCAGCTGCTGTCTGTCTGTATGTCTAGTGCGATGAAGTTCCTCATTCTGCAGGACCAGCACATGTTCAGAATGTGATGACAATGGAGCATGTGACATACTGTGAAATCTCAAGTGACCCAGGAACAAGAGCCTTCTGCAAACCCTTGTCATTATGACATTCCCCAAATGACTGGCATTTACCCGCTGACAACACGAGACTCAGTAAGAAGACAATGGGAGAAGATCTGTTTGGTACTGTTTTTCATTATATATCATTTTCACATCAATATAATCTTTGCAGCAATAACAGACACGATTGCTTGTGATATACAGGTCATGCTCTGCACCACAGGAAAGCAAATAAAAATTTTGTTTTTCTGATGGATGTTCAAGATGGGTCCGTCTTCTCCTCCACAGCCACAAAATGGGTGAGTTCACAAACAATCGTGGAATTTCTACATCAGTTTAAGACTGAGCTCACTCAGGCGTTTCTGTAAACATAACCGTGTTATATTACAGCTGCATTCAGAATCAAACACATGAGATGTTATGGACCAGAGTTCTAGCAGCCAAACGAAACACTATTTTGATCCTTTTTACAGCAATAATGAATCACCACACACACATACACATGATATTTTCTTAAATACAAGGAATGGAGTCTTTAACATCAGAATAAAAATAAAAATACAACATCAAACAATGGCGTTCTGCCGTGGTTTGGAGCGAGTGAGGATCAGTCCATGAACTTGCGGTTCTGGTTTGCACCAAATAGGGTGACTCGGATTTCCGGCATCATCTGAAAAGAATCGAAAATGAAAAATCTATCGTACAATTCACACTGCTTCTCTTAATCGTAACCCTCTCGGCCCAATTTCTGTACCTGTTGTGCTATGAGGTTCAGCCTGCTCTCCAGAGTGTTGGACACTTTGATCTTCCCATCAGCATTATACAGCTCGATACCACCAGAGCTACAAAAAAACACAGAGACTTTCATTTCATATATTCAAAAACCACAATTAAGTAAAAAAAGATATTCAGGCTAATTTTGTAAATGAGATATTGAAACGGCAGATGCTCACACTTCTGGAGAGAGGAAGTTCTCCTGGTCAATACGCACTTCAAGATTGTCCTTCACTGCTGCCTTGTAGATGGGAATGTTTTTCTGCACAGCAGCCTAATATAACACATGTTTGTGCTTGGTTTATATCATGAAGTAATCGGTTATTAATAATTGCCAAAGTAATACACAACATTATTTGCTATAGAAGTGTATATATAATTATATAACTATATAAGAAGTTAAACTATATTTAAATTAGTATCATTGAGATACTATTACAGTGTTTTTAATATTTTGCATTTTCTTTTTAATTTCAAAGTTTTAGTAATTTTGCTGTTTTTGTAATTTTTTGTCTATTTTTTATTTATTATATTTAAGTTTTAGTTATAGTTATTTTAGTACATTAAGTTAAAATAAATTTAAAAAATAAAAATTTTGTCTTAGTAACTAGCTAAAATAATATATATAAAATACATAATTTACATTATATAATACATCATATAATCTTAGATTGCTGAAGCCAGTGTTTTTTTTTTGTTTCATTAATATGCTATTATAGTTTTTATTAATATTAAAAAATTTCCATTTTAATTTCAAAGTTTTACCAATTTTTTAAAATTTTTACAAAGCTCATCGGTCTGAAAAGCAAGGTGTGCTGTGAAATTTTTATATCATCTTTTGATATTTTAATACATCAAGCTAAACTAAATGAAAATGAGTAATGTCTTCTTGGCAACTAGCTGAATTTTTATGTTTTATTTCAGTTAACATTTATTTTATTTCATGTAACACAGTTGTTTTTTTGTTATGGTTTTAGCTTTAGGTTTAGTGGACTACAGACCTGCACTATGCCCACGTCCTGTTTGCGGCAACGGATGGTCACTTTGTGTTCCAGGAGCTGGTAAAAACCCTGAAACATGAGAATATCAGAGCGTGTCCTGATAAGACTCGCATACAGTCCTTGACAGACATGGTTTGCTATAATGTTTAATTATACAATCACTCACCTGCAGGACCAGTCCGTCCATCAGAGCAGCGTATCTGGATGGATCTCTGGCTACATTCGCTAGTCGCTGACGTGCATCGTTTAGCAAATCCTAAAAAAAAACAAAAACAGAATTAATACTGCAACGTAAACAGACAACATAAACCCAATATTTCTTTTAAGGCTAGATGTGCTACAAAAGAGAACAGAAACTAACCGAAATCATGTCATCACGGGCCTTCAGGACCTTCAGTCTGGCCTGGTTCATTAGGTTGGACATTTGACTGTGGACATGAAGCAAACATTTAAAACATCTGAACATTCATAGATAACTAAATGATCTGGAACTTTTTACTGCATGAAATAATTGTTTGAGTAACAAATTTTGAGGAAACTGGAAGTTTGCACGGTAATGATTTGGGCGTCTGGCTGTTTCAGTCAGAGGAAGTCACACTCACATTTTCTTCTGCTGTTCGATCTGTTTCTCCTTCTTCTCATAATACTCCATAATCTTCAGACGCTGAGTCTGAACCAGCCGACCTTTCTCAATGTTGAACTCCTCCTCTGCCTGCAGGGGGAGTCACTTATCATCATATCAGTTCTTATAAACGGCCGGTCACACCATTTCACACCATTTCCACTGTCACAGCCTCTTAAAGATAGTATTTAGATGTTTTAGTGGAATAATTTAAAGCTAGACTAGACTAAATAAAAAAATTACCTTTGCATCAATCTCCTCTGCTTTTTCATTGGCCTCCTGCTCAATGAAAGCCATCATGTGCTTGATCTGGAAAGATATGGGAATCAAAAGAACAATGATTCAATATCTATCAGGGAAAAAATGCTTTAAAGGAACATGAAAAGCAGAAGTCTAACAGGATTACTATATTTAAAACCCACTTGTAAATGCAAGCACTTGCATATCTTTGTTTCCTAATTTTGTATAAAATACATTGTTAGACCCTTGTTGGTTGTTTCCTGAGAAAAATCATCTGAAATCTGTTTAATGTTACAGTAGCAAAGAGTTGCCCTGTTGTGGCTCCATCACAAGGATGTGGAATGTGTCTTTCTAGTGTGTGTGTGTGTGTGTGTGTGTGTGTGTGTGTTTAGTATGTTATTACTATGCAGAACGTCCTGCATCTTAATATTCTGTATCATCTGCATTCTAAAATTGGTCTTTTTGTTGTGAATGTTTGATATTATTCATCACACTACCTTGGTGCATTTGTTTTCGAATGAGATGCTCAATTTAATTTTTCCTTATTGATCCTTTATGCACATGTGCGTGATCGCGTATACGTATTAAAATGTATTAATATAAATTCATTATTATTATTATATAGACAGGTCTCGTGATTCAAGCGCGTGTCTAATGAATAAATGACGAACAACCTTGAAGGCCACATCATGGTATTTTATGATCGATGCTCGTGCCAGGCTCGCCTAAAACAATGCATTTGTCAAATCACTGAGGGGTTAATCTTGCTACAGTGTTACGGTGTAATATAGAATAAAGTATGCATTTGAACGCCTTTTCACCTGCTTCTGGACGTCGGCATCGCTGAGCGCCATGACTGCTGCTGCTGTAAGATGATTTTAAACTCCACCGACTGAAAGGGCTCGTTTCTCGGCGACGGAAAGACGTTTGCGTGAAAAAATAGATTTCAAATATATTTTCGAAAAGCCTACAGATTTAAAAACGCACAAAAAATGACATGAAAGGGTCGACCGTGACAGTGTCTGAGTCGTGAAAATAGACTGGAAGGATCAGCTGATTCTCAGTCAATGATGACACACGCGTCACATGATGCGTGTTTCCTCTCTGGAAGCCAATCAGATCACAGTGCGCGTCTAGGCTTTTTGTTGCGGTTTATGTGACATGCGATTATTTTGAACCTGTTACAGGCGATAATAATAATGACAATATTACTAAGAGTAATAATAAAATATAAAACTTTAAAAAAAAAAGGTTTGTGTAGTTTAAAATGAGAAAATAACAACATAAACCTAGTCTGTGAGGGACTCAAGTACAGTGGTTTAATGGATTGTACTGTTGTTTAGCAACATACTGATTGTTCAGTTGATCAAATGTCGTTCCAAAAAACTTTTAAGTACACCAAAACTCCATAAAACAGTTTTGAATGTTGTGAGACGTACAAATTACGTACCACGGACGTTTATACAGCAAGTGCCATAGTAAAAACTGTACACAAACTGTATTCGGGCACATATGATCATTGTGAAATGGTGGGAAAATGAGGGGAAAGAGGAAGTAACATTGACCTTAAAGGGATAGTTCACCCAAAAAAGAAAATTTGATGTTTATCTGCTTACCCCCAGGGCATCCAAGATGTAGGTGATTTTGTTTCTTCAGTAGAACACAAACGAAGATTTTTAACTCAAACCGTTGCAGTCTGTCAGTAATGGAAGTGAATGGGAATCCCGGCTTTGAGAGTAAAAAAAAACATACACAAAGAAAACCAAATTAAACCCTGCGGCTCGTGACGAACTGTCCTGAGTGCGTTCTCAACAGCCATCCGCCTTAAAGCAAGAAGAAGAAGAAGACGCATCACGCGCCGGCTGTTGAGAACGTGCTCAGGACAGTTCGGACATTGCGGTGAATCAGAGGAAAAAAACGATTTAAATACTGTTCAGTTTCTTGCACAGACCGATCGTTTTGTGTCTTTACACATCAATGTATCGTCACGAGCAGCATGGTTTAATTTGGTTTTGTTTGTGTATGTTTTTTTGACTCTCTAAGCCGTGATTCCCATTCACTTCCATTATATGACTGACAGACTGCAATGGTTTGAGTTAAAAATCTTCGTTTGTGTTCTACTGAAGAAACAAAGTCACCTACATCTTGGATGCCCTGGGGGTAAGCCGACAAACATCACATTTTCATTTTTGGGTGAACTATCCCTTTAATCACAAGGTGGATGCTAACTTTGTCAAACAAACACATGTCAAGCAAACTGGAATCAAATTCAAACAGATCGATGTGTCATGACTCATGACCCTCATTATAGAATCGAACAAAGGTAAGTGGACCGATGGGAGTTTTACTGCTTTGTTGTGTCACCATGAGTTGGACAGATGTAATTGGATAGGGGTGGGATTTTAGGGG